ACTTGTCTATTTGCAGGAGGCCAATCTGTAACACACGTGTGAGGAAGAAAAAGAAAAAGAAGCCGCTTTATTTCTCTCTCTCTCTCTCTCCCTCTCTCTCTTTCTTTCATTCTTGCAAAAAATATTTGCACGCACGTGCTTTATTTTTGTTTTCGCCGTCCTTTGTTAAAACAAAGACACACACACACACACACACACACACACATTCCTTCTCCACGAAAAGACGTGTGACGCCCTTACCCCTTAGCAGGTTGCTCCCTCTCACTCCGGGAAACAGGTACAGACAACAGCAAAAGCGGTGTCATGCCAAATAGAAGACCTAAAATCATGCCAAGAGTGCTACCCACCCGAGTGGCGCTCCCATTTGATGCAGAAGCGCTTTGCGAGGGTGTAAGAGTCGGCGGCCGTGCCAGACGCGACCTTTGCGCCATACGCTCGGCAAGACCGTGCATTTGGATACCAGCCGTCCCTGACACAACACCACCGAGCGCCGCTGCAGCCATTGTCGACATCCCAAAGGCTTCCGCAAATCTCTTGTCGATGGCATCCCCAGCCGTAATAAAAATGGTGTTGTCAAGCATACCAAACGCCATGAAAGGAACGGCAGACGACAACGCGATGCGGTGCCACAAGCCCCATGGAATGTAACCAGCCGCAGCAGCCGTCGTGTTGGGTAGAATAGATGCCTTTGATGTGGTGGTGTCATGCACATGCGCCGTAGCGCGAGGGAGCTCAAAACGCATGGCGACACGCTCCCGCACCGCCGTGTTTACCCACGCGTCATAGTCCTGCGAGGAGATGTTGTCATCCTGGTCCTTATCAACGGCCCGCAGCTGCGCCTCCACAGCGTCTTGGCCAAAATACTCTTGAGTGGTTCCAATGACAAGCAATGACCGGAGGGCATCACCGGACAACGACGAGAGAAAACGCGGACCAAACGTCGTATCCTTCTCAAGCAGTGCTGCAATGGCCGTCAGCATTTCCTCGCGGCCCTCCAATTCCTTCTCTTGCTGAGCTAAAAAGGGCGTCAGGGGCGGTGACTGCAACGACGATGTGGTGTCCGGAGAATTGTGTGTTCCCTGGCACCTCTGCAGCACATCACGCACCCGATTCACCGCCTCCAGTAATGCCTCATTGCTGTCGACCATCTGGCTTCCAAATGCGTCGCTGCACTTCCCTGACGACACGTCCACTACGGTATGGCCCATCCCGCTAATTGCACGGCGATCCACAGAGTGCTTGGTCGTGCTCTGACCGTCATCGCCGGTCGCGCGGATGTCACCACCACTACAATGGCTCGTACCTTTCTTCGCTGATGGTGACTGTGCGTCCTGCGTAAGTTGCTTCTTTGATGTAATGAATGTAACGGGGCACACCACCGTCAGGAACCCCGCTGTCATTCCTGTTGCTCTTCTTGACGCCGATGCAGGCAGGAGTGCGTGAACCACACACACCATGCAGGACCGGCGGAACAGTAACCACATCCCTCTCCTTCTCTTCTTTTTTCTTCTTTTTCCCCCCCTCCTTTTTTCTTTCTTTTTAATATGTTTCGTCGCCTCTCCGCCTCCCCTAATACTCAGCCGCTCTTTCACTCACACGAAAAGTGAAGAACGCTGGGAAGTCGCACGAAGCCTCCCCACACACACACACAAAAAAAAAAAAAAAGGTTTCGTTTAGCGTCTATAAAAACACTCGTCTCACCACTTTTTCCTCCTGTCCCTTTAATACCGATCCGCTTATATATATATATATATGTTTGTCTATGTATGCACGAGGAAAGAAACACGCTGTTTAATTTGGTTCTGCTAATGCCTAAATGCCGTTGCGCCCGCACAGGCACATCGACACTCGTCGCTGAGATTGCAGCAAACAACAACAGAAAAAAAAAAAAAAAAAATAAAGAAATAAAGAGGGTGGTTTCACCAGCAGCAATCAACACAGAGCACACCTCATCCAATGCAGAAACATCCATACAAAATCCCACACACAATAAATTTTTTATACGTACAGCCATGTACTCACACTCGCACTCTCGTTCTTTCTTTGCATGTGCACACAAAATACACACCTTCACTTACACTCACACTCTCACACACAGAAAAAGAAAAGGAAAAAGAGAGAAAGAAAGGAATGGAGGGAGGAAAAAGAAAAAGATAACGACATACATACATACATACATATATATATGACTATATAACTATGCGCTTGGGTGAGACCCAGCCTCCTTCTCACCCTCTCTCCGGCAAAGAACGGAAAAGACACCAAAAAAAAAAAAAAAAAAAACATGCACCGCCAACATCCGGACCAGCTTTAAAGGCGGATAAGTGGCATTCTTTAAAAGGTCCCCGCAACCGCCAAACTCCCCCGCGCAACCGGAAGCGGTGGGTGGGCGGATGCAACGACATACACACACACACAAGGAAAACAAGAAAAAAACACCTTTGCTACCTTCCAACGCGGCCTTATTGGAAAATAATAATAATAATAATAATAAGCGATACAAGTAAATTTAAAATTAAAATCAGGGGAAATCAAAGAAAAAAAAAAAAAACCCACCCCCACCCCTACTCCTCCCGCCATCACCCACTAAGCCTTAGTTGAGTTGCACTTCCCTTCCACACGCCTCTATGAATTAGATGTGTGCACCAATGACACACATAGATATGCATATAAAATTACAAACATATTTTTTTTGTTTTCGTTTTTCTTGTTTTGAACTTAGATGTAAATATATATATATATATATATATAAAGAGAGCCGAATTGGTGGCAGGCACAGCTGAAAGAAAAAGAATGGAAAGGAAATAATTGGGGAGAGGGGTGGGATGGAGACCGTTTTTGTTTTTGTTTTTTGTTTTTTGTTTTTCTTTCCATTCTTCCTTTTTTTAAAGTGTCTCTCCCTCTCTCTCTGTGTGTGTGTGTGTGTATTTGTGTGGAAGATGTCATGAGGCACATCGTATGAAACGCAAGCAAACAAAACCAAACAAAAGAAAAAGTGGAAAAATGCACATAATTAAGTCATTAACGGAGGGGGGAAAAAAGGAAAAAGAAAAACATACAAATGAAACACATTCGCAAAAGACAAGTTGGCTAAAAAAAAAAAAAAATAAATAAAATTTATTTAATGCCCGGTGTTAATTTGCGATACATGGACCGTCCCACGTGGGATGTTTCCTCATTCCCACCTGGTGCCGCCTAATTTAAAGAAAAAAAAAAAGAAAAAACCTCCAAAAAAAGAAAAAATATATATATACAAACAAACAGAAATTAAAAAATGTAAAGCCATGCATGCGGGTACACAATCAACAAACACAGACAGAGAAATAGGGGAGGAGGAAAGAGAAAAAATACTGAAGCAGAAGTTTGCATATTTCATTGTTGTTGTTGTTGTTTTTCTTCTCGCGTTTTTCCGAGGAAATTTGATGGCCGGCACTTACTATGGTAAAACGTGCCCCCAGATCTTATGGTGTTGCAACCGTGTCCCAGCAAGACGCGGCTGGCCCGTGCGCTGGTTGATGCCGTCAGCCCTGCACCAACAACAATCCCGTGATGGACGCATCGCTGACTGCGGGCTTCCCCCGACAATACGGGGCAATTGGCCCTGGCACCACGGCGAGGTGGCCGGCATTGCCGAAGTAGAAGTGGGCAAAAAAAAAAGAAAAAAAAAAAAAGAAATCCCCTCATAAAGCGTCGCTTTACATTAGCCGTACATCAACAGGCATTTTTCATGTATTTACAAATGGTCCACCCATTCACTTTAAAACGCGCCTAATTCCTGTATGCTGCCAATACCAAGAAGAGTTTTTCTGCTGTGGCTTTCAGTACACGAATTGATCATTTGCCTGCTGCGTCTAACTTCTCCCCAATGAGAGCCACAGGGTGTCTGTTAAATAGCACCAAAGAAAAAAACCTCACTGGAGAGGACGCTTTGAGCACCAACAACATCTGTGCTGTCGCCAATTTCGTCGCGTGCCTGAAAGAAAAAGCTGTAATAGTAGTCTTCGACAATACCTGATAGGTTTCCCTCCAAATCTCTTGATGGATGAGGCCACAGGGCGCGTGTTGGCTGAGACGGCATGCTAAATTAATTGGTATAACTAATCCTGGGGCGTCCGCACAGCCACTTCTCTTCTCTTTATCCAAAAAAGCGGCAATTAGGCCGGGTGCGGCCTTCTTTGCGCAGATCCCATCAAGATAAGAATGTTTGTTTGTTTTTTCCTTCTTCTCCTTCCAATTTCTACCGCGTTGCGCTCCGAGTTTCACAACGTCCTTTGGACATCTGATTGACAAGGCTGACGAGACCAGTTAGGTCATGTTCCCCTCATGTCCTGGCAGAATTTGGCTACTCTCAATTAATTTAATTCGTGATCCACCAATGGAAGGTAACATATCCATCTGTTGATTCCGGACGCGTCTCCGGGCAGATTTCATGCGCTGACATCTTGGCGGGCAGAGCCCCTTCACGCCTGTCTTTGTGTTCTCCGGGAAATGACGGGTGGGATCATCCGTGGCTTTGGCCGATCCCAAGCCCGTGCCTAAACCCTGTGGAGTTGCATTATGCCGAGATCCCCAGTTTTCTATCGGATTGACACTCCGCAAAACCTTTCCAGTCACCTCGTCACTCTCATTCGCCTCACACCCCCTGAGTTGAGATAAAAGCTGCGGCGGTGACTGAGCACAACTAGCCACGTCCTCACTACGAAAGACGTGGGGGGTATTGGGGCTTTGCTTCATCTCCATGATCTTATTGAGAATGGCTACACGTTCAGCGGTCTCACATCTCCGAATCCTCTGTCGCTGTATTCTCTCCTGCACTAGTGGCCCTCGGTCGCCTAGGCGTCGCGGCACGATAGCTAATTCTGAAAGTTGTTCTTGCTGTTGTTGCTGATTTTGCTGCGGATGATTCTGGAGGGGTTCAGCAGAGAATTTCTGTCTCTTTTCCACCCGCGGAAGAACAGGGTTGCTGGAAGAAAAAAGTGACGGAAGTTTATAGTATGCGTCGCTCCCTGACACGATCCTTCTTCTTTCACTCCCACACGGCACTTCTTTTGGTTTCACTTGTCTCGTTGCTGCTGTCATCGCTTGCCGGGTTAACTGCGTTGTCCCATTCGTAGCATGTACACACACACCCTGGGACGCCGGCGACGCCGTTGTGGCTGTGACGCTGGATGGAATTTCATGGAGATTTGTTGCAAAGTTGCCCCTTGACGTTCCCGCTTTTTCCTCCGCGGGGACGACTGCTACCACTGGGGTTTCTGCTGACGGATAGGCAGGCGGTGCTCTGTTCAGAATCAATCGGGGCGTTGCCTCCCCTTCAACTTCTTCTCGCAAAGCCTTCACCCCTCGCTTTGCGTCATCGTCTAACAGCGTCCTCGAATCCCTCGACACGTTACTAACACCACTGCCACCTACTGCAAAGCGTGCGCCTCTACAACTAGCTGCAGGTGCCGCTGGCGTGGATGGCCTGGCTGTGATGGGAGACACACATTCCTTGCTCGGTCGTGTACAAATTTTGCCAGTTGCTGGGGGCAACGTCGCCACCCTTGACGTGCTCTCATTGTGGGGCGGCTCTAAATTCACCGTGGGCTTTTGGGTGTGCTGTATCCTCGCCCCAGACCCCACAATTTGAGGCAACTGGGTGGGGATGGCTGCATTCATGAGGTTCGTCCTCGTCAAGTTGCTTGGCCGCAGCTCTTGGTTTTCCTCTCCGTGCACGGGACTGTTTCGCTCGCTGACAATCACAGGCATCTGCGGTATGCCGCTTTTGTTACTGTGGGTATCGCAAACACTAATTTGTCTTAATATACGGTGTGGTGAGAGGGTTTTGGAGCCCACGCCAATCTCGGTCCCTTGCGACGACAATACGTCCGCGCAGTAGCTGCTTGTTGGCGACATGCCCCACATCAGGGACGCAGTACCGCCCTCAGTTGGTCCAAACGGCATGGATAGAAAGTGTGGCACGTTGCTCGGTGTGTACGTCGTCTCGGAGTACTCCTCAGAATCGTCCTCAGATGAGTTCTCCAATTCATATGTCATGACCAATGGGGTTGGTGACAGCTCGGAGGAGGATGGCGCAGTTGTGGAGTTTGCCGCCCGACGAATGCCCGGACACTGCTGCTGACGCTGTTGCACGGCGCGTCTTCGGAGCGAAGCGGCGGGCCATTGCTGTTGTAGTTGCTGCTGGTGCAGCGGTGGTGATGTGGCTTTATTGCCTCCTGGCACATGCATCTCTGTGACTTTATGAAAGGAACAGACAAACAATAGTGATATATTGCAGAAGGCTGGGTTGTTTCTTGTTGTTTATTCGCCTCCTTTTCCGCACCATCCTACAATTTCCCGGAGTGATGGAAAAGAAAACACGAAAAGAAGCCGGAAGGTCCAGCCGTTCACACACACACACACACACAGAAACACTCGTCTTCTATCGACATCGCACTACCGTCTTCCCTCCCTCAGCTTCTCCCATTGATTTGTTTGTTTGTTTGCTTGTTTGTTTTTTTCTTTTTTGCCTTCTCTCGTTTCCACCCAATTCCCCCACGGGTTCTTGCGTGATTGCTTCCGGAGAGTAGGTATATATATATTATACTGACAAAAACAGACATACAACAGCACCAAAAAAAAAAAAGGAGGCAGAAGAAAACCTACAGCAGAGAACCATACAAGCATTTTACATCTGCATAAATATGCCCACCCACTCATCAGTCACCTTACCTGCATACATGCATGCGTGCACACAAGAAGATACAAAAAAGAAATCATAACGGCCGCCGAACTGTACTTTGTGATTTCCTTTTTTTCTTTCTTTTCTTTTCATTATTATTTCGACTTCCCTGCATGTCAACTTAGAAAAGATTCAAGTCTTTCCACTCCTTCCGTTGCCGCTCCAACTCTGCAGCAAGTTCTGCACGCTCCCTTGTCTCTCGCTCCACGCGCTGTTTTTTTCGTGCCGCCTCCTCCGCCAGCCGTGCGGCCTCCAACTGCTGCTCCACAAGCTGCTCACGACGTCGCAGCCGAACTCTTTCTTCCTTCGACAAGTTAGCGTCATCCACTGTGCCAACGGTGCCGCCTCCACCAACGGCGCTTGCAGTCGCCTGCCGCCGCGCCGCCTCCTCCTCCTCCCTTTCCTGCTTCTTCTTGTGGGCAATCTTCAGCCGCACGAGAACGGCCTCATTGCTCAGTAGCTTGTGTGCATTCTCAGCGACATGAAAGGCGTCGGCGGCCTTCGTTAGGGTGCACTTGTCGGGGTGAACCTTCAGCACAATCTTCCGGAAGTTGCGGTTGATGTCAGACAACGCGCATGACTGCGCATCGAGCTCCAGAATGGCAAAGGCGTCGGCCTTCGAGGCGGCGCAGTGCAGCAAACGCCGAATCTCCTCCGCCTGCTCCTCCTCCCCGCCCATCCTTGCGGAAACGTCCTACGCAACAACTACCCTAACCCTTCCTATTTGTCCATCCCACACACACACACACGCCACGGGTAAAAAAGAAAAAAAAATGCGCGCTGGCAGATATGAGCCGGTGAAGAACCATAGGGAACAAGAACGTGTTTCACGCACACACACACACACGTGCGCAAAGCACGTGTAATAATGGAAAAACAAAGATACGCACTGGGCCCCTCCGTCACCTTTCACCATACATAAATTTCTTTTTTTCTCTCTCTCTCTCTGTGCGTGTGTGTGTCATTAATGCATGAACGGTGCGTCATTATCCTGCCCTTTTTGTTCGTTAGTTTCTCTTTTCAGTCTTATAGAAGATTCACCGAAAAAAATATCTGCTTGAGAATATGTGGCAGCGCCTGCGTGTCCAAGCATTCAAATCCGTGACCAGGCGGCATCTCTGCCTGCAGATTTGATGCCTGCTCACCCAGTGTCGCAATGAAGATACAAAACATTTGTACCTCCTTGTGACTTCGCATGATTGCGCTCAGTTCACTCGGCTGGATGCCGTACCGCGGCAAGTTCGCATCGCTGATAACAAACACCAAATATGCATCCCCCTTTTCTGCCGTGACAAGATCAATGCTCTGCCGCATTGCCTCCACTGTGTTGTCGCCTGACCAGCAGTATTGTGCGTGGGCCACCATGCGCTGACACACCTCCATTCGCGCCTTCTGATTGGCGGGTGAATGGCCAAAAGAAACCAGCTCAATGCATGCGCTGTCGCCATTGTGGCCCACCATCGCGTAGTCAATTTTCTCCTCAAATCCGGCAAATGCCTCCATGACCATTACGGTGGATTCCAACAATTTGGTCAATCGATGGTCCATTCCCTCAAAACGGTACATGCTGGCGCTCACATCCAGTACGAACAACAGACGTTTCTTGTGTTTAGACTGAAACGGGTTCGTTTCAGTGGATTCTTCCCGGCGCTTGTAGATGTTGCGTTCACCAACGATGCCCTCCACAATCTTGCTGTCATCCCATATGCCATCCGTCTGACCCCGCAGCCACGTGCGTTCACCCTCTGCTGCTTTCAAGCCACTCAGAACACTTCGCAGCAACGCAACCGGGGCCTGCACACGCTCCTGTAGTGCCCTGTACTGTTCATACTCCTTCGCACTCATCCCAATTTCTCGCAATCGCTCCTCTAGAGCGGCCTTCCCCATGCGTTTTGCCTCTTCAATAATGTGAGGTGGTACCCGTTGTTTCTCCTCAGGTGAAACCTGGTGCACAGGCCACCCCTTGTCAAGACGGTACGGCCCGACAATCCCACCAAGCCCTGCAGTATCCGTGCCGCCCGTACCACCCGCGTAGGTGTTGCCGCCGTGATGTTCTTCGTCATCCTCCTTGCCGTGTTTGAGCGTGCCGGAGGGCTTCGCACGTGGCTTACTGTACGTCATCGAGAGTGGCTGCCTTGTCGTTGAAGCAACGTTTCCGATCTGTTTGACAGAACCCTCAAGCAAGGTAGACCAGTTGCGGTAGCGTTTTTGCACACGTTCCTCCACGACATCTGCAACTAGCAGTCGCTGTGCAGTGTTGTCGTACCACAGCGCCACTCCCGTTCCCTCGTTCAGTGCGAACAACGGCATACCGGGATCTTGCGATGATGATGATGATGATGCAGTGGGTGGGGGAGCAAAGCGGCGCACCATGTGCTGCTGAAAGTCAACTGCAACAATCCTGCCACGGTGCTCTGCCGAGGACCATTCAGTCGCCAGCAGCTGATGATTTGGGTGACTTACACGCAGCGAACCGGTACCAACGGCGGCTGCGGCATCGGCGTCAGTGAATAAACGCACTGACCACATCCTTTTCTCTGGTGAATACTCGTCCAGCGTCATGTACACAACGTCTCCACGGTTTGTCTCGCTAAAGCTTGGCACAACGACAGCCCCCTTCAGTTCCTCCAGCTTGAGTGGTTGTAAGAGCGCATGATCAGACGGCAATGCCGTTGCTTGATTCCCCGCAAATCCCACGATATCCCCTGAGATGCCGTCAGGAAGATGAAGAAGACTCGCCTTTGCTTGACCGTCTGCCGAGACGGCCATTTTCAGAAGGCAATTACTCACCTTCTCCCCGACTCGGAGGGACACCATTGCTAGATTGTCGGTCACGAACTGCAATTTATCGATACTCGCTGCGGGTAGTGTTACGACAATACGTTGACCGTTCATCCAAACAAACAACTCCGGACTTCTTGGTCGCGTCATGGCGACAATACCGCTCAGTGGTCGGAGTGAACAGAGACATAACGATGGCTCACAGGAGGGCGGTGCGATTCGGACGGGTAATACGGCGCCTCGAGCACATTCTTCTTCCTCCCCTTGTTGCCGCGGAGGAACGTCGCATGAGTGAACCGCAGCCGCAGCAGTGTTAATCAGCAGCACGAGGCCCGACTGGGCATCGACCACAGCCACGAGCGGAATGGGGGCGCCAAACGCTTCATTCAGCCAGCCGGCTTGTGTTTCAGTGACAAGAAAAGAACTGTGAGGTTCGGCATTGAATGCATGCAACGATGGTGCCAAGGCGGAGGAAGACGAGGAAAGGTCAGCAGCGGGAAAAAAACGCGTCAAGTCAAAGAATTGAATCTGGCCCAAAGAAAGATGTGAACGACGCATCGTCACCATCCCGAAAGAGGCAACCGACGGCGGTGCCACTATAGCGAGGAGAATCCTTTTAATGCGACTGCTGTTATTATTACTCGTGTCGTTGGTAGCCTCTTCACGTAAAAAAAGAACCGCGAGGGTGATGAGAGCCCCCATGTCAACGTCTGTTTCCACAGGCGTGATGCCCAGCACGACATCTCCTGAACGTAGAAAAGGGATATTTGGAGCCGCCAGCCATTCTGTAAATCCCTCTGACTCGACGTTTGGCACGACGGCTGCAAACTCCGACTCCTTGTATTGCTCACACCAGGTGGGAACGGACTGTGCAATGTATGGTTTATCGCAGTCCGCATCGGTAAGAAACCGCACTGGAAGTAATGTGGCATCGCTCACTGATGGCGTTGTTGACAATTTTGATGACGCCGTTGCTGGAACTTGCAGAGACTGTGGCGAGACATGCAGTGGCAAGGACTGTCCAGCACGCAACGGTAGAAGACGCCGCATGCCACCAGCGCTCACAAGCGGGTGAAGATGAAGATGCATCACCTGACGGACAAGGTGCAGCGTGTTTTCGTTGCGTGCGTCAAAATTGAATACGTTGTTAAGGGCGTCGTAAATGCCATCATGTGGAAACGCCGCCATGTGTTTCACCACCGCAATCAACTCCCGCAGAGAAAAGGGATATGTGAGATGGCCCTCTTCAAAACTCTTCTGGAGACTTTGGAAAGCACTAATGAGTCGCACCAGCAGGGTGTCAGGGAGGTTTGGTCCGTATGCCTTCAGTACGCGTAGCTGTGAAAGAGCGTCTGGGTTGCCCATGACATACGATGCAAACAAGTCACCGCATTCACGATAAAAGTCGTTGCCATGGAACGGAAACCCCGGTGGATTCGCCAGAACAATGATGCGAAAGTCCGGATGCATAGCAATGATATTTGCCTCTTCCTTGGGGTCGCTGTCCACGGCCACGACACGTGCCCGTGGACCGCGTATCTGCCGTCCATCGCGGAGACGCATCTCGTGATCCTCCACAAGTCCCTTCAGCACCTGCACCACTTCTACCGGTGCCTTGTCAATCTCGTCCACGACAAGACAGTGCCCACGCTGCACCGCCTTCACTAACGGTGAGTCCGACCAGATAACGCGACCCCCCTCAACGGTAGGATTGATTGTGAGGGTGCCAACGGTTGTGTCACGGTGGAGTTGAATGTACTGCCGTGGCACGCCTATACGCGCAAGAAAAGCGTCCACCACCTTGTTCTTCCCAACACCCTGGTTCCCAATTAACAAGATATTGTTTCCCACAGCGTACTGCTTTGCGAGCCATGCAATGATGGACTCATGCACAGGATTGGAGTGGAAGTAAGGGACATACGGCACCATCGCCCGTTCCTCCTCCGAGTATACACGACTGCTGCAAAAAACAGGTCTACCATGTACTGCGAATACACGCATAAACCCACAGCCCTGACATTCAGTGATAGCATTGGTATTTTTCAAAGCCGAAACTTCTGTGAGAACATCGTGGCGTTTACCTCGACGTCCTTCGGACAGATCGGCCACCGTTTCTGTACCCTTTCGCGTCCCATGATGCCGTTGTTGTTGTTTTTGCTTCTCCTCGTGATCACTCACGCCATGAAAACCGCAAGAATGCATGGCCTGCCGCACTTGCTCGGCCGTCAGTGTATTCATGAGCGGGAGCAATAATGCGGACTCCACTCCAGGTGTAAAGTCGTCCGGGTGGCGAACACGAAAGCGGATTAAATGCAGCAGTTGCCGGAGACTCAGCTGTGGCACTTTAGGCTCGGTCTCCTGTAGTCGCTCAAGTGCATCGCGTAAACGCAGTAGCCGGTCGACGTCTCGCTTTATTGTCTCCAAACTCCTTTCGGCCATAGCGCCACCATCACTCTCGGTAAGTGAGCTCATTTCATTTCGCCACGTCTCCAGTTCTGTTGATGCTGCCCGTGAGAGGACGGCGTGAAGAATTGTCTGCGTGGTAGCCGGCATCATCACAAGCCCAAAAAGAGATGTCACTTCGTGAGTGACACGCCTTCCA